GAGACGGGAATATCCCCAGACCAGTGCCACAACACGCCTTCAGGTTGCTGTTTACAAACCAGGGCGTCAGATGCCTCTAGCAGGCCAAGAAAAGCAGAAATCACGTGAACCAAAGCAAGAGTTAGAGGGGCTGGCTCTCAGCCCCTCCTGGGCTTTGAGTAACCAGAATGAGGCCAGCCCAGGCCTTCCAGCCACTTCCGGGAACGTGGGACATACCAGGAAATACAAGAGACCCGCAAGCCATCCTCTTTGAGAGTGAGGGACAAATGCTCACTTGGTGTGTACTCAGCTATTTTGCATTTACAGGGACAAAAATCAGACACAAAGAAAAAGGAGGGGAAAAAAAATGAGTGGCAGTAAAAATAGTATTTTATTCCACCCCCCCACCCTCCCTCCCCCCCAACCCCCAGTACACTTTTCCCCTCTCGTTCCCACAGCAACGTTACAATCAGAAAAAAATAAGTTTCGGGGGGCAGGAATTGGAGGGGGGAGGGGATACGGGTAAAAACAGTCAAATCACAATAGGAATTTTCTTTCAAAATAGGTGATTCCACTTAATCATCGTCTTCTCCCTCATCTTCCGGTTCTCGTTTTCGCTTCTGACCCTGTTCTTCCTCTATAGGAGGAAGGAAAAGAAAGGCGTTTCAGTTATGCACCCATCCATCCCACCTGTCACTCACCCCTGCTCCAGAAACCAAAGACCACACGTAAGAGAAGCTCTGCCATCTTGGAAATTGAGGCACAGAGGCATCTAGGGCCCCAGATGGGCATCTGCCCACTGCCAGGAGCCTCTGAGCCCAAGCTGGCTAATGTCAAAGTGAAGGGGCCAGGCCACTACCAGCAGAGAACAAAAAGGCTGCCATACCACCGGCTTCTTCTTCATCTTCCTCGTCATCGACTTCCCCATCGTTGTAGCCTTCTTCATCCTCCTAGGAGAAAAGATGGGTCCCACAGGTTAGAAATGTTGCTGGTCCGGGGATGTGTCATCTCCACCCCTTCAAAGCCCCAGCCAAGGCCTGCCACTCCGGATGCAGAGTACAAATTCTTTACCTGTCTGAATCAAGGACCCGTTTGGGAATCTGCAGAAAGGCTGAGCTCCTTCCCCAGAAACTACCATATCGCATAGGACAGGGGACACATGCACGTGGTTTCAGGGAGCTGTGGATCCCCATCCCCTGAGGTTGGGATCCTTGACGCCACATCCCCAGAGGTCTGGCAACCTGCAGTCTGTGTGCTCTGAGGACAGCAGGTCCAAGCGGACTCCCTGCCCTGGAAACCACACAGGCTTTCCTCATCTGCCCAGCCTAGCTCTGGCTTCAAGGGAAGAAAGCCCAGCTTTGGCAAAGCCAGTCCAGCTCCACCCTCTGCCTTTTCTTGTCTCCAAAGCCTGAATCCTCCAGGGGGCAGGGAGACCCCACCACCACTTTATCCCCACTGGTTTGAGAGTCAGCCACAGGGCGACTTCACTCTCCACCCTTGCTTTCTACTGCTGGAAGTTTTAAGAGAATTGGGGGAGTTGCAGGGTGTGGCAGCGCACGCCTGTAATCCCAGCATTCCTGAGGCTGAGGCAGGAGGATCGCCATGAAGAGGCCAGCCTGGGCTGCATAGTGAGATCCTGCCTGAATACAAAACAAACCAAAAAAACAAAAACAAAAGAAAAACCAAAAACCCCACCAAACAAAAACAGAACTGGCAGGGCCAGACTTCTTTCAGTCACAGGAAACACCCTCCCCTAACGTCATCGAGTGGTCCCTCCCTGCCTGTGCTGTCCGCTGAGGCTGTTGTGTGGAAGCTGGAAATATGCAGATGGTCAAGGAGATTACAAAACACAAAACAAAACCCAAGTACTAGGCTCTTGAGACAGGAAGGGCAGACACAATCTACCAGCCCAAAAGGCTTGCTCCCCTAGCCCAGAGGGACCTATTCTCTTAAATTTTTATTTTTAAAAAGCTCACACATAGTTTTCAACCAGAATGAGCCTATCTGCCTGGACAGAGGGAGCAGAGAAACCACACAGGAGATGGGAGCCCAGCGTGACTTGGTGGCTTCTCCCCAGATCCTGCTCTTCTTTGCCATCTGGGTCACCCTGGCTGTGAGGCCTGAGCCATCTCTGCATTCTCAAGAGAGGCAGGCAAGAAATGAGCAGGAGCAATGGCTGTGGTGGGGACTGCAGGCACCTGGTCCTTGCCACTGTCACCTAAATCTCTCCAAGTCCGCCTTCTGTTAGCAGTAGGAGTTGACTGGGAGAGCCGGGAGTGGTGGCGTATACCGTATCCCTATAGTCCCAGCACTTAAGAGGCCGAGACCGGAGAATCTGAGAGTTCAAGGCCAGCCTGAACTCACTGTGTTAGTTCACCTTCTCCAAACACAAAACAAAAACAAAGAGTTGACACAGCCTTCCAAACAAGTCACGGAAGACGGTTCTGCAGTGGAGACTGGGACCGTCCCAACCTCAGGCGCAGAATGTGGTACAGCGGAAGGGGGGTGTGAGCGGCCACACTACAGAGTCATGTCCTCAGCATGTCACTTGATTTCATGTTCTGCCCAACCCACCGAGAAAGGTATCTGGATTCCCATTTTACACATGTACAACAGGATCAGAAAGGTCAAGTAACTTGTCCAAGGACACACAGCTAGCAAGGGTTAGAGCTGGGGCTCAGACACTCCATACTTGCTGGGTCCATCCTTAGGGTACTGGGCCAGGCCTGATGTGCTACTTCCTGTGTGCAGGTGACTCTGTGCTTCTGATTTGGGACACAGCAATGCCCTACCTACTACTTATCCCTCCTGCGCTGTCTTTGCTTTTGCCTGGAGAGAGGTTTAAGTGCTCAAGGTCTTAATTACATATAAATGCAAGACAGCAAACACCAGGTACTGGAATCTGGTGTTTCCGAAAGAGCTAATTTCCACACGGAGCTGGGGCCAGGCAGGCGAGTCTGGCCTCAGGAATCTTCTTCCCCAGGGCTGCCTGCAATCCAGTCCCGAGGGTGCCAGGCTGCCAATGGAGGAGCGAGGCGGGAACCCGCCCCGCTGCCGGCCGCCTCCTCACCTCCTCCTCTCCACTCACGTCCTCCTCTTCTCCTTCCTCCTCCTCATCTTCATCCTCCTCATCTTCCACTACCTGAGCATCTTCGTCATATTCTTCCTCTGTGCAGTCAGTGGGGACAAGAACAGAAGGGGTGAGTGAGCTCCCTCCAAAGCACAGGCCCAGCTGGTGGGGTCTGCTGAGTGGGCCCACGACTCCCCAACACCACCTGTGCCTGAGGTCCGAGGGCCGTAAGTAACAAAAGCAGCACTGACCCTACCAGAGCCCTGGGTGACCTGCCCAGCAAGTGCAGATCCCAGAGTCCTGTCCCGCCATGGTGGGGGCCACAGATTAGGCAACAGCTACAGGGCTCAGAGGCTAAGCAGGCACCTCACCCAGAAAGAGCACCTGGCACACAGTCCCCTCACAAAGGCCTTGTTTGGGTGACACAAGGAGTTGGCGGGAGCAGCCAGGGTCTGAAAACTCGACGTGGGGCCAATCTGCACCCAAGACCTCCAGCACGTGCTGAAGCATCATGCCGTACCCTAGAAAGGTGGACTGTTATAATCTGCCATAATAAAAACCTCCACCAAGGGCTGGGGAGTTAGCTCAGTGCTTCAGCGCCTGCCTCGTAAGCCCAAGGACCTGAGTTCGATCCCCAGTATGGTGAAACAAAACCAAACCTCCACCAAGGCCGACAGGATCACTGAATGTCGTGTCAAATACGCCAGTTACACCAAGACATATCATGTAAAGGTGCAAGATCCCAATGATAAATGTAACTGTATTGTTTGCTTTAAATGTACCAATAACCTTAACGGGGGAAATAAATAAAATAAACTCTGCTTTCACTAAGAAAAACAAACACGTCAGTCAAACAATGAAAAGCAAAATCTTGTTCCTGAATGAATCAGGCAGTGCCCCAACCCTGTGTTCCTCTGCAGGGAGGCCACGTATGCTGGGAGCAAGGGACGTGGGAGGACACCAGGAGGGCACCCTCTCCTCCCCCAGCCCAGAAGGCTGGGGCACTGCCTGCCCTGGGTCCTGAGACTGTGGGCTGCAGCCACCAGGGGGCTCCACAGCCCCTCCATTTGATGACCTGGACACCTGGACGAGCAGTGTCCCCAGGCACACCCCACCTTCCACTGTCGCCTCAAGCTCCCTGGGACAGTCTGAGTCTGAGTCCCACTGTTGGGCGACACTGTAGAGCATCACTGCCTGTGAGCACTGGAAAAGGGACAAAAATTGAAGCAATGACAGGTGGTTTCCGAGAGGTTACTAACACAGCTGGAGCACCTCGGGATGTTCCCGGGGCTCACTCACTGTCCTAGGAGGGGAGACCCCAACGGGACCAATTCAGGGAACATGGAAGCCACAGCAGGAAGGGCCCCCTCTCTAAAGCCCAGAGAGCCCGGCCACTCACCGTCCTCATCCTCCTCGTCATCGTCCAGGCCCTCCACATAGCCCTCAGCGTCCGAGTCAGGGGCCTCCTTGTCGTCCCGGTCGTAGCCGTCGAGGTACGTGAGCTGAGGGAGGAGCTTGAACACGTTTTCTCGGTAGTCATTCAGATTGGTCACCTCGCAGTTGAAAAGGTCTAAGCTCTTGAGGTTCTCTAACTTCTTCTGCAGATGGAAACCGGAAGTAAACAGTGAGAGCAAGTGGTGACATTGGGGTGGGAGACCCGCCTGGGGCCCTCTTGGGGCTTGAGCCAAAAGCCCTGCTGTGATGAATGAGCCCAGGAACCAAAAAGGTGACGTGAACTCACTCACTCCTGCGCTAAGTAATGACCATCTTGGCAATTAACACAGTGCTGCATGTATTAATCGATTTATACTTCAGCCCCTGTGAGGTAGCAATAATTTGTTTTCCAGGTGAGGAAGAGGACAGATCTGTGATCTGACTGTATGAGACACTTGTCACAGAGGGCAGAGAATAACGGATGGAGGACCCAGATTCTGTCTCTGACACCTAACAGGATGTCTGTCACAGCTATGGACCAGATCCATCCCAGCCCATGCTGTCCCTGCTGACGGCGGAGGAAACTGACACCCCAGGAAGGGAGAGGCACTACCGAGTGACAGAGCTGCATCCCGACTTCCCACCTCGCCCACCTTCAAGGTGCCAGGTACAAGAGATCCTGTCCCAGCCAAGTCCCTGTTCCCCTGTTCTCCTGTTCCGATGAGAGGAACAAAGCTACTGTCCCCCGCCCCAGCCAACGACTTGGAGGTGGGGGCCCAGAGGGGACAGTCTCGGAAGTGTGGGCTGTGTCTTTGTGCGTGGGCTCAGCACTCCCCCACAGAAGCAGTTTCCCACTCACAGGGCTGAGAACACGCCACACTGATGGAGGAGGGGACCTGCTGCGACGTGTGATCCGGGCACAGGGAAGCGGGAAGAGAGCAGGTGAGTGCGTGCGCGCGTGCCCATGTGGTGCTCTCAAAGCAACCCAGACACACTGTTTTACACAAAGATTTTATAATGCTCAGTCCTCACACGGCTTGGTCCTCCATCACATTCCTAATATGCACGCACGCAGAACTTGGAAGGTTTTTCTTTAGTGAAATTATGAAAGCAAGACCTCCAGGCAGATCAAAATAGTTCTTCCTCCTAGATCATCAGAAGACCTGGATGGAACTGTCCTGTGGGGAGCAGGACACCTGCACAGGGAGAGCCTCAGCTAGGTGAAGAGGTGCCAGCTTCTCATTTGGAGACCCTGGCCCATCGAGGGGACCCCTGGGCACCCAGGAGAGCAAGGAGTGCTTTGTGGTCAAGAACTCACAAACCCAGCCCAGGCTCCACCCGACAGACACAGCACAGGCAAACCTGGCTACCTTGGCAGTGCCCTCCGGGCCTTCCCTGCCTGAAGACCTGCTTTACCAGGCGACTCTTTCGTGTGTATTTACAATAGGCAAGTTTACCTAGTGAGGGAGCATTTCTCTATTTCCAAAGAGCCACTGTACAACCAATGACACATTGTAAGGGCTGCTTTCCTTAAAATCTAATGAGTATAGTAATCCAGATCTTGGTAATGTACAAAGTATTATTCTGACTATGACCTGCCCCTTTCTAGCTAACAGATCAGCTGAAGTCCAGGGTGTGAGCGCAGAGGGGCCGGAAAGGCTAGCCAGGTCTCAAGGCTGTGGTCACCACCAGGCAGGCCAGGGATGCTGTCCGTGCACACAGGCTGCGGCCTGCACTAGGCTCTCACACCACACAGCTCTGCTGTCCTGGGGTTCTGGGTCACCTCTGACCCACGTCCTGGGACTCAAGCCACCAGCGCTGGCCGGCGACCCAGAGAAGAAACAGGAGTCCACATTCTGGGCCGGCTCAATTCCTGGAAATGGTGGCTCAGGCTTCCAAAGTTCAGCAGAGACTACAAGGGAAAAGCTCCAGTGGGGAAACTGAAGCCAGGTTCAGACCAGCCATGCTGACTGCCCTTTCTGGCTGTGTGATCTTGGTCCACCTACTTAACTTCTCTGGGCCTGTTTCTCCATGGACTACACAAAAATACAAGCTCTCATTCTATCTCCTAGCACAAAATAAGAGTCAAAGGAATAGAGAAATGAAAAAAGGGGATTTCAGAAATGCAAAAGTAGTACTCCCTATACCACTTCCTCCCCCACCTCCTGTCCCCTCGCAGATGGCAGGACCCAAATGACTTACCAGGGGCTCTATTGTGCTGAGGTCTTTAATTTTGTTGCCACTTAAATTTAGATGCGTAAGGTTCGGACACTTTTCTGCCAATACTTCCAGGCCCCCTGAGATTCTGTTATCGCTTAGTTCAAGCTAAACAAGGGGGAAAAAGCAGAAAGGGCTTTGAAAATGAAGGCTCTCCCAGAAGGTGGGGCCAGGGAGAGCAGACCCGTGGACTGGGGCGCATGTCTGCGCATGCGCCCAGTTTTCCCATAATTACATTCCAACACGCGGGGCCAACCCCTTCTGCCCACCCTGCTGCCCAGTGTGCAGGCGCAGGGCACTGTTTACCTTCTTGAGTTTGTTTAACTTTGGTAAGTTTGCGACTGAGGTGAGGCCAACGTTGATTGTACTTAAGAATTCCAGTTCTTCAAATTCATCTGTGAGGCCTTCGATTTTGCCGTCATTCGACCGACAGTTGTCCAGGACGAGTTCTTTCACCTGGAAAGGGAAAGGCTGCGTGAATGGACGCAGGCAGGGGGCCAAGGTAAGGCATGGCCAGGTCAGGACACCCACCAGCTCTTCCAGTCACTTTGCCCCCAACAAGCAGGGCGGACTCACCCACCTGGTCTTTCTGCCTTCCCAGCACTGGGGGAAGAGCATAGGGTGAGCAGCCCCCCACTACAAAGAGGAGCCTTCGAGGGTATAGCGAAGACCTCCCTGTCATAAGCCACACACCTAGATAGGGTCTCGTCCCAACCTCACCTACCACCCTTTACGAAATGCAGTGCCAAGGCTGGGCGTGGTGGTGCACGCCTGTCATCCCAGCACTTGGGAGGCTGAGGCAGGAGGATTTCTGTGAGTTCGCGACCAGCCTGGGCTACACAGTGAATTCCAGGTCAGTCTCAACTACATAGTGAGACCCTGTCTCAAAAAACAACAACAAAAAAACCAAAACAACGCAATGCAGTGCCACAGCCCCAGATACAACACTGTTAGGGACCCCTGGGCCCTGCACCCCGCTCCGCATCCCAGGCAGACCAGCTTCCTTCCCACGCGCAGCCTCACACCTGTTCCTCCGCAGACTCTGCTGCTCCCACATTTTCACCCACTCCTGCACCAGTCACAGCCTGGCCCACCTGGCACTGGCACTGGTCAGTGGTCACCTCCTTGGTCTACCACTGTCCCTAGATCAGCACTGTTCCCACTAGGTAGGCGATGTCCTGTGATGTCCAAGGGAGAAGCCCCTGGCCACTCATGGCTCCTGAACCTTGCATATGAAGCAGCGGCCAGCAAGACCCCCGAGGGTGCCTTTGGGACCTGGCAGCTCCCTGCCGGGCCTATACCTGAACAGGGGATCTAATGCTTTATTTCTGAGGAGGAAAGAACTCATCAAAGCCACGTTCTCATCAGGGCAGACTGAGCTAAAGGGGAGACCAGCAGCCAGCTCTTGTTACCCACTCTGGTCCCTCGGGCAGACCTGCTGCGGGAGGATCTATCCTCTGGGGGCTGGCAGGAACCTCAAGGTGGCCTGTCCTCACTGGGTCCCTCCAGCCCAGGACAATGTGTCACCGCTCCCAGAAGCAGTGACATCCACTGGATATTCTGCCTCCCGCCCAGGGACTCCACCCACAGGCTCCGGTGGTTTCTTGCCACGGGTCACAGGGCACAGGCCTGTCCTCCATAGCAGCCCCGCTGGCCCCATGCCAGTCCCTGTCCAGGGCATCTGTGGGCCAGCAGGAGACTTGAAGGAGGAGGTGGAGCGGGGGACCACAGCAGAGCTGGCTAAACCTAGCGCCTGGCAGGACCCAACGGCGCTGCCCTACCAGGACGGCAGCAGCGCGCAGGCTCCATCTGGCAGAGGACAGCCTCTCCTGGGGTTCATGAAGCAGGCCCCAGGCGCTGCCCGACCAGGACGGCAGCAGCGCGCAGGCTCCATCTGGCAGAGGACAGCCTCTCCTGGGGTTCATGAGTTCTCAGTCTGGGCACTGCCCAGTAAGGATTGGGGATACACATGGGTGGGGCAGAGGGGGCATTCAGTTCCCAAGAGAGGCCAGATGAGCAGCAAGCAGGTCGGGCCACCTTCTCAAGGTCATTGGCAAGAGTGGCTGGGAGAAATTCTGGGAAGCCGCTACCCAGGGCAGGAAAGCGGCATGAAGCCAGGAAGCCAGGCCTTAGGAGACAGGCTAGTGAGGGTCAGCGCTCGGGAGGGGAGCCGTCTTCATCTGATGGGAACCGGAGGCGTGGGGCACAGCTGCTGTGCCACTGGTTTCCTGGAAGGCCACGGGCATTCCTGAAGCTCCACTAGAAAAACACAAACATGAAGAGATTCCAGGCCACCTCAAACCCTGTAGCCTTCCTGTGGTTTTTCCAGGCTGGTCAAGTGTTTGTCTTCTTACTGTCCTTACCCAAGGACAGGAGGGCCTGGGTGTTGGACACACCATACACGGGGAGGGTCAAGGGGATCCCCTGCCACTGGGGGTGGGGCTGAGAGCACTGACCAGGCCAGGCCGGTCCTCAACTCCAGCACTGGGCAGCCACTCTTCTCAGGGACCGTATAGAAGCCACTACAATTAATGCATTTTTACTTTGTCCCTGGCTCTTCTTGGGCCCTCACCAGGCACATTATAAGGGTTTCACACCCCTCCACAGGATACCCATGGGGCATTCCCCCTGCGACAGCCTCATCAGAGCCCCTGTCCCAAACCCAGAATGCAGACACAGGGAGGGGTCTGCTGGGCCAGAGTGGTCAGCGGGGCACAAGATTCGGAGGGGCCCTGGAAGCTCTGACACTCCTAAAAGGAGGGCACATGACCCCCCAGACCCCACAAGCTCTCCTGGCTGTCACTGCCTCCTTTCAGCCCCTCTTCTAACAGCTCTGCCAAATGGGTGGGCACCACTCCTAGAGGTCCCTGCCCTGGTTACACTTCCTCCGTAACCAAAGCATAGAACTGAACCCAGACCTGACTTGTGGCTGCAGGAGCGAGGACAGACCTAGGAGTGCCCAGACAGCAGGTGTGGCCAAGGCTGCTTCTATTCCCCCTGGGAAACTTGCTTTTTCCCTTTGTATCACTAAGGATGGACCTATGGATTTTGCACTGAACAAAATCCCCAACCCTGTTTTTGTTTTGTTTTTTTAATGGTGAGGCAGTAAACTGGTAAGGCCAGAATGTGTGATCTTGCCTCAGACTCCCAGAGTGCTGGCATTTCAGGTGGTGGTGGGACTGCAGATGGTACAGGTCACAGCTGGGTAGGGGAGGCTAAGGAAATCTGCATTTCTGAGGGGACAAAGGAAGTCTCTGGGATCCCTGCTGGTTATGCATTCCTGAGGAGAGGACGCTGCTTAGGGTGAGACTGGAAGAGAGGGAGGGGCCAGAGCATACATCCTCAAGCTTGCTGGTGTCACCAAAAGGCCCA